GTTGATTTGGATATTGAATATGTTGATGGATATTGAATATGTTATATTCAATGGATATTGAATATGTTGATTAGGATTTGGATATTGATAATTGAATATGTTGAATCTTTGAATTTGTAACTTAGGCATCACTTATTTTGGTAAATGAATATGTTGAATATTGAATTGGTTCATTTTTTAGTTGTGTCATTTTTGTACCGAAATGATACCGATACCGTACCGATACCGACACGGTACGGTATGGTACGGTACCAATTTTGACAAACGATAATCCCATACCGTACCATACCGATTTAAATTTCCGGTATCGGTAGCGGTACGGGCTCAATACCGTACCATACCGTACCGTGCCCACCCCTAGCCAGAACAGAGTAAAGCTCTGCCAATTTCAACATTGGTATTGATTTCCAGCTAAACCTCACTAGTTGAAGATATTGACGTGCAATTCCAGTATAAGATCACTCCAGTCTAGCCCAATTCACCAGAATAGGCAGAAGTCAAAATCCAATGTTCTGTCTTACCAGACTTGGCAGTTTTCATTTGTTTTAAATTTGCTTGATAGGTAGCTTTTATCTCAAACATTTCAACTTATTTCCCAGCTCTCACTCTGGCCAGAATTACCAGTGGCTTTAACTGTGTTAAATTATGAAGTCATCACCAGTCTGAGGCAAGAAAAGAACTCACTTGGGAATTATTCCTTACCCAAATTCACAATCGTTTGATCAAGTCAGTAATTTAGAGCACAAGTTATTACGTTTTTCTAAGTTTGTTAGGGTTTTTAAACTGCTAACAGTGGCACGCTTGCACATAAAAGAAAGTTGACTTGTTGATCACAAATGGTTTCTAGGTCAATGGGGATTTTTACCCTACCATCACAGGAACCAAAACAAAATGGGTGAAACAATTTGGCACGCTCGGTGGGACTTCACCGTATACATACTCATAAAAAGATATCATTTGGTGTATGACTATTGGAAGTTCTAGCCAGAATCCAAGCTTCGCCATGGAGAGAGATCAGCCAGCTGCCTAGCTGGAAGTACATGAATCAAAAGAAAGTGATGCTAGATAGTTAGCCCACGGCAGTACCAGGAGCAGACGTTCCAGATCTAGTTCCAGGAAAATAAGCCAGATACAAGAGGCTGTAGTTAGACAAGAGGCTACAGCGTAGAGAAGCCAAGACACTACAGCGCAGAGAAGCCAAGACACCCTGGATAACATGACTGCCATGATGAGATGGGAAGTTAACATGCAGTTAAGAAAGGATCGAGAACTTGCTATCGCAAGAAATCCAACTCCAGACCCAGTAGTCCAGCAGCTAGATCTCCCTTTTGGGCCTCCACCAGGTTTTGTATGGCCATATCAGGAAAACCCTTTAATTGCACAGATAGCTGGGATACTAGAACAAGCAGGAATTCAGGCTGGACAGAGGGGGGAAGCTCTTGTACTCTAGGGACAGGAAGTCCCAGCTCTTTGAGTAGGTCCAGCACCAGTCCCGGTTCCCCAGAACCAGCCAGAACTTCTTCCCCTACGGCCATAAGTCCCACGCAACCGACCAGTGGCAATCTACCTGAACAGATAATAATGTTACCATACAGACCTAGAAGAATGGATCCCCATCCGTTTCCCCCATTACCAAGAGGCAGAAGAAGCAGAGGAGGAGCTATCCCTCTAGCCAATAATGACAGGAACAAACTGGGGACAAACTGGAGAAATCTTCCAGATTTCGAGTAAGAAGAAGAACACAGGGAAGAAGAGGTGCTCAAAGCATACATAATGGAATAGAGGATTGAACAAAATCAGCTAGAACAGGGACAAAGCATGCCCCCTGTTAATGCTTTAAATGACATGGGGGCACTACATCGAATGATTAGAGAGATGACGGAACTTGAGGTCAGAATAGGAGAAAGACCTACTTACAGAAAGCCATATCCAGCCTATATTGATCAGATGCCTCTACCCCCCAGTTTTAAAGTACCAAATTTCACTCTGTTTAATGGAGAAGATGCTCATGCCTCATCTGTCGAACATATAGGCAGATTTTCTGTCCAGTGCATAGCCATTGAGACCAATCCTCTTTTGAAGCTCAAACTTTTTGGAAATTCATTATCTGCCCAAGCCTTCACCCGGTATACTAATCTGCCAGCCAATTCTGTCCAGGCCTGGGAACAGATGGAAAACGCTTTTCATGACTACTATTTTAGGATCCAGCCAAAAGTCACGATTAGTGACCTTGCAGCTCTCAAACAGGTTGAAGATGAACCTACCCAGGAGTTCATTAGTAGGTTCAAGAAGCTAAAAATGAAATGCAGGATTCCAATAGAAGAAAGGCACTTCATCCAAATGGCCCAGGCTGCCCTTAAGATCTCCCTGAGAAAGAGATTTGATGGAATATTCTTTGCAGATCTGGCAGAATTGGCAGACAAGGCCTCTAAATATGAAGACCTACTGAAGGAAGAACAACAGAAAAGAAATTCTTCCAAGGGCACATATTATAAAACGCCATCTTCCATTTACAGTCCATTTGGTTGAGGTAGAGTCAAAAGAAGACCAAGAAGGTTCTGGATAAATGGAGATAGCAGTGGCAGAAATGGCAAAGTTGAAACATCCTATCAGCTGCAAGGTTTTGATCAAGCCACCAAAAGATCAAAAGCCACCTCCATTTGTCCCAAACAAACCAGCACAGAACAAGGTTTATTCTTTTGATCTAACCAAGGTGGATGCTTTGTTTGATGAGATGTTCTTACAGAAGGAAATAGAAACACCTCACAGATTGCCTAAGCCAGAAGAGCTCAAAGGCAGACAGTATTGCAAGTGGTACAACTCCTGGAACAACTCCACCAATAGTTGTGTTATTTTTAGGGACATTATACAGGAGGGAAGAACCACAGGAAAGCTAAATTAGCTGAGAAGCCTCCTACAGTCACTACAGATCCTTTTCCTCAGCCACAGGTGAACATGGTCAATCTAAACTGGCCAGAACAGGAAAAAGGCAAGTTGACAGTGGAAGTCAGCCTTGACAGAGGCAGAAAAGTCACAAGAGGATTTGATCAACTACCAAAGGCTACTATCTCAGCTGGAATAGTTCTGTGCAGCAGATGTAAATGTGAATGTGAGCTAGAGGTAGCTTTGGACAAACAGATTCCACTTGCCACGAGTGTCTTTGACAGAATCAGAACTTCATGTCAACAAACACCAGTGCCAATTCTATCTAGAAGCACAGTCAGACAGAAGTCCTATTCCAGGCCTGCCCAACAAATCAAGAAGGTAGTTGACCTGCCAAAGAAGGAAGTACCAGTCAAATTGCCTGGAAATAGCAAGCCTTTGGCTACCATCATTGATGGCAGATGGTATTCTGTTAAGAAAAATGGCAAGCCAACCTTAGAACTGACCAAAACATAGAGAATGAGAGTCCAAGACAATACTGCACCTTCCTGAAGAATAGCGAAGATACTAAAGTATTCACGAATGTCAGTTCTGCCAGGATTGAGAGTAGTCCAGTGAAAGTTATTCAGAAAGAACAGATGAAACACCAACAGGAGGGGTTGGTCAGATCCTCCTTTCACCATGTTTTATCTTTACAGGAACAATCCATAGTTTTCCCAACAGAGGGGCAGGAAGATTGGACATAAGAATATGAAGAAGAACAGGTAGATTATGAACCATCTGCAGATGACCAAACTGAATTCCTCGAAATCGAAGAGCAGGAGGACTGTACTGAGAGATACAATGAAGAACTAGATGAGGAAACTTAGACATTTGGGGTAGAACTAGAAAGCCTGCTGCAGGGTGACTTATATGTCAACATGGTTTTTGTCATACCAGAATAGTTCAGAGCAGCAGAAGGACAAGAAAGTACCTTGGAAGGAGATGTGTTCTCTGAAGAGGGCTTTGAATGTAGGTTGGCTGAAATGAGAGAGGTGCCAGAACAACATAATTTTGCTGCCATACAGACAAAACTACCATCAAGACAGCAGTAGAAGGAGTATGCTTCTCCAAACCTACCAAGGAAATGGCCAACCACCTCAGACCATTGTTCATCACTGCAAACTTTGGAGGGATTCCATCCCCAAAGTGATGGTAGATGGGGGTGCAGCCATCAATCTATTACCTCACAGATTATTGGCCAAGATGGGTAGAACAGAGAAGGACCTGATTCCAATGCGCTTAATAGTCACCAATATCGCTGGGGGCATCACCAAGACCCACGAAATACTGGATGTGGATGTCATAGTAGGAACCAAGATGCTAAAAATTGCTTACAATGCATTACTTCGCAGGGACTGGATAAACCAAAGCCTATGTTTTCCTTCCACTCTACATCAACAACTGGCCCTTTGGCATGGAGAGGGCTTCATGGAAATAGTAGAGGCCGATCCACGACCATTTCTACCTTCTGCAATGTGTTTTGAGGCTAGGTATTATCATGATGACCTTGGTCCTTTCACATTCTTTGGAGTCAACCAGAACGGCCGCCCCCATGGTGTCACGGCCCAGAGACTCATTGAGAAAGGTCTAGCCAGTTCTCTAGAGGACTGGAATAGACCTTTTATTCTGAACCTCCAGAATTCTAATGTTTAGCCCCAATCAACAAGAAAAGGATCGAGCTGCAACAAGCCGATCCATTACAAAAAGATTGTTGATATACTGGGGAGAAAGGAAGCTCTCTATGCAGAATCTAGCCGTTAACATGGCAGAATTCACATATGAGAGTACTGAAGAGCAAGAAGAGAATTTATAGGAAGATGAATTAGAATTCGTGCCAACAGCATTGGATGACTATTTGCCAGAAGTGGAAGATCCTCTACATGAGATAAATTTAGGTACATAAGAAGATCCTAGACCCACTTTTGTTAGTGTGCTGCTGGAAGAAACTTTGAACAGTGAAATCATTGCACTTTTGCATGACTTCAGAGACTGTTTCGCATGGCATTATCATGAGATGCCTGGACTAGATAGAGGATTAGTAGAATGCAAGCTGCCAATCAAAGAGGGGTACCTTCCAGTCAAACAGGCCAGAAGAAGAATTTCCAAGGAAACAAAATTAAAAGTCAAGGAAGAGATAAAGAGATTGGTCAAGGCAGGATTCATCAGACCAGCTATCTATGCTGATTGACTGTCCAATATCGTACCAGTTCTCAAAAGAAAAACAGGGGCGGTCAGAATCTGTGTGGACTATACAAATCTGAATGAAGCATCTCCCAAAGATGAATATCCTATGCCAATGGCAGATATGGTGGTAGATGGAGCTGATCATAACCAAATGCTGTCTTTTATGGATGGCAATGCAGGGTATAATCAGATAATGGTGGCAAAAGAGGACATCCACAAGACTGCTTTCATGTGTCCAGAGCACATAGGCGCATTTGAATATGTTGTAATGCTGTTTGGCCTGAGAAATGCAGGAGCCACTTACCAAAGGGCAATGAATTCTATGTTCCATGACATGATAGGCCATTCCTTAGAAGTGTACATAGATGATGTGGTCATCAAATCTCAAGAAAAGGAAAATCATGTACTCAATCTAAGGAAAGCTTTCCTAAGGATGCGCCAGCACAAGTTAAAAATGAATCCCAAGAAATGTGTTTTTGGGGTTCAAGCAGGGAATTTCCTAGGCTTCTTGGTCCATCAAAGAGGCATAGAGATTGACAAAAATAAAGCAAAATCCATCATAGAGGCTCTACCACCTGGGAACAAGAAAGAATTGCAAAGCCTCTTAGGAAATATCAACTTTCTCAGGAGATTCATATCCAATTTTGCCGGAAAGATTCAACCTTTCTCTTCATTGTTAAAATTCAAACAAGAACAGATATTCAGGTGGGAAGAACAGCACCAACAGGCTTTTGAAGAAATTAAGCATTACCTCTCAAATCCTCCAGTTCTGTCTCCGCCAACTGAAGGCAGGCCACTCAAACTGTATGTTTCTGCATCAAAGACATCTACTGGGAGCCTTTTGGCCCAAGATAATAGGGAAGGCAAAGAGCAGGCAGTCTACTACTTAAGCAGAACTCTGACAGAAGTAGAGAGAAACTACTCTGCAATTGAAAGGTTGTGTCTGGCTTTATATTTCACTGCTATAAAGCTTAGACATTACATGCTGCCTTGCACCATCTACATCATTGCCAAGATAGATCTGATCAAATACATGCTGACTAGGCCAATGTTGAGAGGCAGAATTGGCAAATGGACTCTGGCTTTAACAGAATTTGCTTTCAGATATGTTCCTCAGAAGGCTGTCAAAGGGAAAGCTGTGGCAGATTTCTTGGCAAATCATCTAGGAGAGGAGATTGAGAACATGGATTCCATGGATATAGCCAATGCAGATCTATTGACTAGAGCTCATACATATATCAACAAACCCATGTACTCAGTCTATCTTACCCCGTGGAAGCTGTACTTTGATGGATCCAAAACTGACTTAGCCTCTGGGGCAGGGATTGTTTTAGAAGATCCATTAGGAATTAGACACTATTATTCATTCCAGCTAGATTTCCAGTGCACCAACAACAGGGTAGAATATGAAGCTTTGATCATTGGCCTCGAAATGTTGGTAGAATTGGGAATCCAATCTGTGGAAATTCTGGGAGATTCCATGCTTGTACTAAAGCAGATTGCCGGAGAATATAAGTGTTTGAACCCCTATTTAGCTGTTTATCTAGTGGCAGCCAGAAATATTTTGACAGAATTCAGGGAGGCTACTTGGGAACATATTCCAAGAGAAGAGAACTTTGCAGCCAATGAAATGGCTCAGATAGCAACAAGGGTACAAATGCCTGAAGACTGCGTACAGAGGATCATCAAGGTAGGGAAGAAGAGTATGCCATCTGTTCTGACCAGAGGAATGGATATGGATGTCAATTCTGCCATAGTGACTGAAGAAGATTGGAGAACTCCTATCATGAATTACTTGTAGTATCCAACTCTGCCCTTTGAGAAAAGAACAAGAATCATGGCTTTGAACTACCTTAAGTGGAATGGAGATTTGGTCTGAAAAACCAAGGATGAATTCAGACCATGGCCATTCAGAGGATGGGCAATGGACCTCATTGGTAAAATCTATGCAGCCAGTAGCAAACAACACTATTTCATCATTGTGGCTACGGATTATTTCACTAAATGGGTAGAGGCCAAGCTAGTCAAATCCACCACATCTCAAGAGATCATTACCTTCATTGAAGAACAGATTGTGAACAAGTTTGGCATACCAGAATCAATCACCACTGATAGAGGGACTTCTTTCATATCCAGAGAAATGCAAGATATGGCAGACAGGCTCAAGATCAAGCTACTCCAATCCACTCCTTACATGCTCAGGCAAATGGATAGGCAGAATCAAGCAACAAGGTGATCATCAATATCATCAGAAAAATGCTTGAAGAGAATCTAAGGCAATGGCATGAGAAATTATCAGAAACTCTTTGGGCCTCCAGAACTTCAAAAAGAGATGCGTCTAACCTATGGTCATGACGCAATTCTGCCCATGGAAATTACAGTTCAGTCCATCAGAATTGCCCAGCAATACAATCTGGTTG